TATCCTGAGCTCGTTGGGTCACTCATGTATGCTATGATGTGCACGCGCCCCGATCTTGCTTACCCCCTCAGTGTCCTCTCTCGCTTTGTTGGCCTTGGTCGCCACACAGACGTGCACTGGGCGGCTGCCAAGCGCGTTCTCCGCTATCTCCGCGCTACCTCTGATCTTGCTCTCACTCTTGGTGGCTCTTCTCCCCCTGTTCTTTGCGGTTACAGTGATTCCTCCTATGCTGATTCTCGCCCTGATCGCCGCTCCTCTCAGGGTTATGGTTTTACTCTTGGCAGTGGTCTCATCAGCTGGCGCTCCACTCGCTCATCCTCTGTCTGCCTTTCTACCTGCGAAGCTGAGTTGTACGCAGGCACATTGGCAGCTCAGGAGGCTCGCTGGCTCTCCTTTCTCCTTGCTGAGCTCGGTCACTCTCAGCCCTCTGTGACGCTCTCCTGTGACAGTGCGAGCATGATTCATCTCACTGAAAATCCTGTCTATCACGCCCGCAGCAAACACATAGAGGTCCGCTACTTCTTCGTGCGCGAGCTGGTGCAGTCTGGCTTCTTACGCCTTCGCAAGGTGGCCGCTACTGCCAACCTTGCTGACATTTTCACCAAGGCCCTTCTGCGTGCGCCACACCGTTTCTACGTGCGCGAGCTTGGGCTCACGCGTCTTGCCACTTCTGGGGGTGTTCCCGTTCGCTAGGTGTTTTGTTCCAGAGCTTCACCTAGCCTGGGGGTGTGTTGGAGTAGGCTAGAGCTCGCTCTGGCCTTTATTTTGGTGTTCTCTTATCATTCCACCATGCTTAGAGCGAGTTATGCTTCCAGGTTCAATTTAGGTTCATTTCGTAGCTATAGTACAAACTGAACACACCCTAAGTTCAATTAGGGTTTCCAATTCCTTTCTAGACTTGTATCTCGACACTTCTTTCCTAATACAATTTTCTCTCGCTACCTTCTCTCTTCCTAGCCATGGCTACCACACTCTCAGTTTTAACAATGGGGAACCTGATGGGGAACCTGATGGGGAACCTGATGGGGAACCTAATGGGAAACCTGATGGGGAACCTGATGGGGGACCTGATGGGGGACCTGATGGGGGACCTGATGGGGGACCTGATGGGGGACCTGATGGGGGACCTGATGGGGGACCTGATGGGGGACCTGATGGGGGACCTGATGGGGGACCTGATGGGGGACCTGATGGGGGACCTGATGGAGGACCTGATGGGGGACCTGATGGGGGACCTGATGGGGGACCTGATGGGGGACCTGATGGGGGACCTGATGGGGAACCTGATGGGGAACCTGATGGGGTGGGGAACCTGATGGGGAACCTGATGGGGTGGGGAAACTGATGGGGAACCTGATGGGGAACCTGATGGGGGACCTGATGGGGGACCTGATGGGGGAACCTGATGGGGGACCTGATTGGGAACCTGATGGGGAACCTGATGGGGAACCTCATGGGGAACCTCATGGGAAACCTGATGGGGAACCTGATGGGAAACCTGATGGGGGAACCTGATGGGGGACCTGATGGGAAACCTGATGGGGAACCTGATGCGGAAGCTGATGGGGAACCTGATGGGGAACCTGATGGGAAACCTGATGGGGAACCTGATGCGGAACCTGATGGGGAACCTGATGGGGGACCTGATGAGGGACCTGATGGGGGAACCTGATGGGGGACCTGATTGGGAACCTGATGGGGAACCTGATGGGGAACCTGATGGGGAACCTCATGGGAAACCTGATGGGGAACCTGATGGGAAACCTGATGGGGAACCTGATGGGGAACCTGATGGGGGAACCTGATGGGGGACCTGATGGGAAACCTGATGGGGAACCTGATGGGGAACCTGATGGGGAACCTGATGGGGTGGGGAACCTGATGGGGTGGGGAACCTGATGGGGAACCGAACCTGATGGAGCGGGGAAACTGATGGGGAACCTGATGGGGTGGGGAACCTGATAGGGGACCTGATGGGGAACCTGATGGGGAACCTGATGGGGAACCTGATGGGGAACCTGATGGGGAACCTGATGGGGAACCTGATGGGGAACCTGATGGGAAACCTGATGGGGAACCTGATGGGGAACCTGATGGGAAACCTGATGGGGGAACCTGATGGGGGACCTGATGGGAAACCTGATGGGGAACCTGATGCGGAAGCTGATGGGGAACCTGATGGGGAACCTGATGGGAAACCTGATGGGGAACCTGATGCGGAACCTGATGGGGAACCTGATGGGGGACCTGATGAGGGACCTGATGGGGGAACCTGATGGGGGACCTGATTGGGAACCTGATGGGGAACCTGATGGGGAACCTGATGGGGAACCTCATGGAAAACCTGATGGGGAACCTGAAGGGAAACCTGATGGGGAACCTGATGGGGAACCTGATGGGGGAACCTGATGGGGGACCTGATGGGAAACCTGATGGGGAACCTGATGGGGAACCTGATGGGGTGGGGAAACTGATGGGGAACCGGATGGGGTGGGGAAACTGATGGGAAACCTGATGGGGAACCTGATGGGAAACCTGATGGGGGAACCTGATGGGGGACCTGATGGGAAACCTGATGGGGAACCTGATGCGGAAGCTGATGGGGAACCTGATGGGGAACCTGATGGGAAACCTGATGGGGAACCTGATGCGGAACCTGATGGGGAACCTGATGGGGGACCTGATGAGGGACCTGATGGGGGAACCTGATGGGGGACCTGATTGGGAACCTGATGGGGAACCTGATGGGGAACCTGATGGGGAACCTCATGGGAAACCTGATGGGGAACCTGATGGGAAACCTGATGGGGAACCTGATGGGGAACCTGATGGGGGAACCTGATGGGGGACCTGATGGGAAACCTGATGGGGAACCTGATGGGGAACCTGATGGGGAACCTGATGGGGTGGGGAACCTGATGGGGTGGGGAACCTGATGGGGAACCGAACCTGATGGAGCGGGGAAACTGATGGGGAACCTGATGGGGTGGGGAACCTGATAGGGGACCTGATGGGGAACCTGATGGGGAACCTGATGGGGAACCTGATGGGGAACCTGATGGGGAACCTGATGGGGAACCTGATGGGGAACCTGATGGGAAACCTGATGGGGAACCTGATGGGGAACCTGATGGGAAACCTGATGGGGTGGGGAACCTAATGGGGAACCTGATGGGGAACCTGATGGGGTGGGGAACCTGATGGGGAACCTGATGGGGAACCTGATGGGGAACCTGATGGGGAACCTGATGGGGTGGGAAACCTGATGGGGAACCTGATGGGGGGAACCTGATGGGGGGAACCTGATGGGGGAAACCTGATGGGGGGAACCTGATGGGGGGAACCTGATGGGGGGAACCTGACGGGGTGGGGGGAACCTGATGGGGGGAACCTGATGGGGGGAACCTGATGGGGGGAACCTGATGGGGGGAACCTGATGGGGAACCTGATGGGGTGGGGAACCTGATGGGGAACCTGATGGGGTGGGGAACCTGATGGGGAACCGGATGGGGAACCTGATGGGGAACCTGATGGGGAACCTGATGGGGTGGGAAACCTGATGGGGAACCTGATGGGGGGAACCTGATGGGGGGAACCTGATGGGGGAAACCTGATGGGGGGAACCTGATGGGGGGAACCTGATGGGGGGAACCTGACGGGGTGGGGGGAACCTGATGGGGGGAACCTGATGGGGGGAACCTGATGGGGGGAACCTGATGGGGGGAACCTGATGGGGGGAACCTGATGGGGGGAACCTGATGGGGGAACCTGATGGGGGAACCTGATGGGGGAACCTGATGGGGGGAACCTGATGGGGGTAGAGATGAGCAAATGGCCCGGCCCGACCCGACCCGACCCGACCTGGCCGAATACCTTCCCACGCGCCTTGGCACCAGAGTTCAGCCACTAATTTGTTTAGGGTTTCGTACACTGCAGAGTCAAAATCAGGTCGGGCCAAAAGCCTGACCCGATTGCCCTGGTCCTGACCCGAATTCGGGTCGGATCAAGCCTGACCCGAAACCCGACCCGACTCGGCCCGAGTTCCATGTTCGGGTCGGGTTTTAGCCCGGGTCGGGTCGGGTCGGGTCGGCCCGCACGGGCCAGGCAAATGAATCCACTGACCCGACCGGTGCGGGGCATATGCTCATCTCTAGGTGGGGACTATGGGGGTTGGGAAGCAAGGGGTTGGGTATAAAAGGGTTGGGGATTAGAGACACACATGTGGGAACGGATGGGAAGAGAGGAGCAAGAGAATTCACGTAGTGAAAAGGCGATGCTTGTTTCAGTAACAGCACGCTGATGGCGAGGCGCAGGCTGAGTACGAGGGGGTCAGAGTTGACTTTGCGGCATCTCAACCGCCGTGTCCTTTCTCACCAGCACGCTGGTTGCACTCCACCTCACTAGAACTAACGGTAATGGTAATGGTAATGGTAATGGTAATGGTAATGATAATGGTAATGATAATGGTAATGGTAATGGTAATGGCAATGGTAATGGCAGTAGTAATGGTAATGGTAATGGTAATGATAATGGTAGTGGTAGTGGTAGTGGCAATGGTAATGGTAGTGGTAATAGTAAAGATAATGGTAGTGGTAATGGTAACGGTAACGGTAATAGTAATGGTAGTGGTAATGCTAATGGTAATAGTAATGGTAGTGGAAGTGGTAATGGTAATGGTAATGGTAATGGTAATGGTAATGGCAGTGGTAATAGTAATAGTAGTATTAGTGGTACCATTACCATTACCTGGTAGCTCCTGGCTTCACCAGCACGCTGATGGTAGGCACAGACTGAGCACGAGGGGGTCAGAGTTGACTTTGCGGCATCTCAACAGCCGTGTCCTTTCTCACCAGCACGCTGGTTGCACTCATGCCTTACCAGCACGCTGGTTACACCTCACCAACACTAAGGGCGATGCTCGTGTCATTACCACCACGTTAATGGCGAGGCGGAGGCTGAGCACGAGGGGGTCCGAGTCCACTTCTCAGTCATCTACTCCCTCACCAGCACGCTCCTGCCACCCTCGCCAGCACTAACGACAATGGTCCTCTCACCAGCACGCTGATGGCGAGGCGGAGGCTGAGCACGAGAGGATCCGAGTCGTCGCCTGCAAAGTCTGAGAGCAGCACGGCTGGGTATAGGTGCACCCCCACCGTGTACCTGGTGGGGTGGGAGGGAGGAGAAGGTGGGGGGGAGGAGAGGGGGAGGAGAATGTGGGGGAGGGGAGGTGGGGATGCACAAGTCGGAGGCTGAGCACGAGGGGGTCGGAGTCGTCTCCTGCAAAGTTCGACAGCAGCACTGCTGGGTAGAGATGCACTCCCACCGTGTACCTGGGAGAGGGGGGGGAGAGCGGAGGGGGAAAAAGGTGCACCCCCACCATGTTGGACAATGAGGGACCAGCAAGCTGTGGAAAAATCCTTCCCACTCACCAAAACGCAAAGGTGCCAGCAAAGAGAGACATGATGGTGAACACAAAGGGCCCTGCGATGGCGTCTGCTAGTCGCTGAATGCACGAGTGTTGCACTGGTGCTGTCCCCTGCTGTGCGCCCTGATTCCCACTCACCAAAACGCAAAGGTGGCAGCGGAGAGACTCATGATGGTGAACACGAACGGCCCTGCGATGGCGTCTGCTAGGCGCTGCACCGGTGCCGTGCGCTGCTGTGCATCCTCCACCCGCCGTGCCATCTCACACACTGCACAGCTTGCTCCTGTTGCTGTTGCTGACACCACTATAGGGCCCTCCTGTTGGGGGAACGTGGGTTCAAAATGGCAGGAGGGGAAGGCATGCAGGGAGAGGGGGATTGGGCTGCTGTGCATCCTCCACCCGCTGTGCCATCTCACACACGGCGCAGCTGGCGCCTGTTGCCGTTGCTGACACCACTATGGGCCCCTCCTGATGGGAATGGGAAGGAAATGGGGTGCTAGTACATCGTAAGTGGGGGCATGTGCTGCTGTGTGTCCTGCACCCACCCGCCGTGCCATATCACATGCGCAGCTGGCGCCGATGGCCATTGCTGAGAAAAATATGGGATCCTCTTGATGGGAGAGAAGGGAAGGTAAGTGCACGGGAAGGGAGGCTTGGATAAGCTGTGCCTCTTCTGCTTGCCAAGCCACTCACATGATGCACATCTGGTGGCCGTAGCTGTTGCTGTTGCACTCACAAAGTTACAAAACGCACTTGACCCTTCTCTTTACAACATGTCCCAGCCACTCTCCCGCAACCACTCACCCAGTGAACGGTGCCAGCATGTTGGGCTTAGGCTTGAATGTTGGGCTTGGGATTGAATGTTGGGCTTGGGATTGAATGTTGGGCTTGGGCTTGAATGTTGGGCTTGGGCTTGAACGTTGGGCTCGGGCTTGAATGTTGAGCTTGGGCTTGAATGTTGGGCTTGCGCTTGAATGTTGGGCTTGGGCTTGAACGTTGGGCTTGGGCTTGAATGTCAGCAACTGTGGCTCCTCTGCGTTTAGGCACTGTGGCCGCCTCTCCTGTCTGCAATGACTCGTGCCCCTACCTTACGTGCAATAGACACTCACTTTGCCACTTGCCTCCACGCAACCACTCACCCAGTTGACGGTGCCAGCAGCAACAGTAGCTCCTCTACGCTTGGGCACTGTGGCCGCCTCTCCTGTCTGCAATGACTCGTCCACTGCACTGCGCCCACTCTCCACCACGCCCTGATGGGGGAAAGGGAGGAGGGTGGTGGGCGGAGGTGTGATCGAGTGTGCATCCACGGGACGATGTCACGTGTGTCAAATGACCATTCTCTCACTTGTGGTTCTGGTCACACCTCTATCTCTATGCACAGCCACCAGTTGTTACTCACGTCAATACAGCCATGTCAACACAGCCACGTCAGCACACAGCCACTCACGTCCACAGGGATGACGTCACCAGGCAGAACCAGCACCCGATCCCCCGGGCGCACGTGATTGGCCGGCACCTGCACCCACGCCGCCATGCTCAGCGCCAACCCCTCCCCTCCCTCCTCCTCACTCCCACTCTCCACCCCCCCTCCTCCCTCACTCAAACCCCCTCTCCCCACTCCAGAGGCACTCAGAGAGGCCAGCAGTCCCTGGGTGCTCCCGCCTGCCCCCTCCCCCTGCTCGCTGCCCCCGGCGCTGTCGTCTTGCACTAGCAGGCGAGCCGTGGAGGGCAATAGCGACTGGCGGATAAGTATGGGCATGGGGATAGGTATGAGGTGGGGAAGGGAAGAGCAGTGAGAGGGATGAAAGGGGTGAGAGAGGTGGTTCCTCTGCTTCCTGCCCCTCCCCCTGCTCGCTGCCCCCCCCCGCTGTCATCTTGCACTAGCAGGCGAGCCGTGGAGGGAAGCAGCGACTGGCGGATGGGCATGGAGATGGCGATGGGTATGGGGATGAGTAAAGCGGTAAGAGGGGAGGGAGGGGTGAGAGAGGTGGTATGAGGCGCAAGAAAGAACCTACGAGCAAGTGATGAGCGAGTAAGTATTGCGGTGGAAGAGTGATGGGGCAGAGCAGAGGCATCACCATGAGAGCATTGAGGTCGGAGGAGGCCTGCGCCCTGGCAGAGGCCTGACGAGGCTTCTAGTGACTGAGCCAGCAGAGGCTCACAATGATAAGCAAATGATGGGGAGGAAACTATGAGCACGGGTGCATTTCCCCTCACGACCAGAGCAGAGGCATCACCATGAGGGCATTGAGGTCGGAGGAGGCTTGCGCCCTGGCAGAGGCCTCTAGGGAGCGACCCAGCAGAGGTGGTGTGAGGGGGCTCACAATAACAGACATATGATAGGGAGCAAAGAATGAACTTCCATACTCTATTTACCATGAGAGCATTGAGGTCGGAGGAGGCCTGCGCCCTGGCAGAGGCCTCTAGCGACCGACCCAGCAGCACCACCGCCAGCAGCATCACCTGGCACGAGGGGGGCATTGAGGGGGGGGGTGAGACATGAATAACTCAGGGGTTGCATGATATGCATGCATCATGCACTGCCCCATGCCCCGAATGCTCCCCACTCCTTCCATTCTCCCCATGCCCCCCATGCATGCCCCCCATGCACCCCTGTGCCCCCCTCTGCCCCCATGCCCCATGCCCACCCGTGCACTATGCCATGTGCATGTGACTTGACTCCTTCATCGCTACTCACGGGCTCGTCAGTGAAGGAGGAGGCAAGGCCGAGATCCGGGTTCAGCTGTGGTGCATGCATACGCATGCATATTGCTCAGCTGCCCCGTGCTCAATCCCCAATGCCCCGTGCTCAATCCCCCTTACCCTATGCCCCAGGCCCATGGCTTCATCGCTACTCACGGGCTCGTCAGTGAAGGAGGAATCCAGGCCGAGATCCGGGTTCAGCTGTGCCACCTGCACAGAGGAATGGGGGTGGGGGAGGAGGGGGGAAATGGGGGATGAGGGGAGGAATTGGGGGAGTTGGGGAATATGTGCTGCCTGTAGGGATGGTGGGGAATGGGGCCCAGTAAAGCCGACAGGGGAATAGGATAGTCCTAGGATGAGCAAAATAGAAAGAGGGGGGGTTGCTTGAGGATAGGCTGTGGCAGAAGAGGCAGGGAGCAGCAACAGGGAGAGGGGAAAGGAGTGGGGCGGGGGTGTACTGAGCATGCCGTGCAGAAAGCAGCGAGAGAGGCGAGGAGGTGGGGGTGGGGTGGGTGGAAGAGGGAGTAAAGAGGGGTTGCACTGACCACACCAATGCCGAAGGCAGCGAGGGAGGCGAGCCCCACGAGGGAGAGGGGGGGGGGAAGAGGACGAGGGCGGATGGAGTAAAGGAGGGCAGTGGAGGAAAGGAGGGAGTAGGGTGCTGGTAGCACTGACCACACCAATGCAGAAGGCAGCGAGGGAGGTGAGGCCCACAAGGGAGGGAGTTCGTGGGTTGGTGGGGGTGGGGAGGTTGGGGTTTTGGGACGGAATGGAGGGCAGTGGAGGAGGAGGGCACTGACCACGCCAATGAAGAACGCAGCGAGGGAGGCGAGGCCCACGAGGGAGTTCATGTTGGGTGAACGACGCAGCAGCGCTTTCATGCCGTCCACAAGCAGGTCTGGGGAGAGGGGTTGTGGGGAAGGGGGGTGTGGGGGAAGGGCGGGAGGAGGGGGAATAGTTAAGGAGCATCAACAAGCAGCGCTTTCATGCCGTCCAGCAGCAGGTCTGGGGACAGGGGTTGTGGGGAAGGGGGGTGTGGGGGAAGGGCCGCAGGAGAGGGGATAGTGGCACGGGACATGAGGAGGGAGACCGAAATGGATGAGAAAGGGAGTGGGCGATGCAGGAGTTGATGGGGACGGGAAGAGAAGGCCGCTGCGTTTGCATTCGCGGAGGGGAAGAGCAATGGCTCAGGCACGGGACGCATGCAGCCCTGCAACAGCAGCAGCTCATGCAGTCGTGTCACAGCCCTTCATGCCACCACGCCACCATGCCAGTGATGCCAGTGATGCCACTATACATACATCTACTACCAAGCACTGACATAGTACCTACAGCCTACAGGCTACAGGGCAAAGCAACCACCCAGCATGCGACACACACAGTACCTCTGGCGGGCCCCAGCAGAGCGACAGCAGCAATGGCGGAGCGTGCTCTCACGTCGTCCAGCACCGCCATCCATGGGCCTGGTGGGGAAGAGGGCGGACGAGGGGCAGTGGGGGAGAACGGGGGCAGGCAGACAGAGGAATGCGGTTCTTAGAGATACGGCTCAGCAAGAGAGAAACAGCAGCGATGGCAGACCGTGCTCTCACATCGCCCGCATTCCATGGGCCTGGCCGGCAGGCAGGGCGGATGAGGGAGGCATGCAGACACGGAAGGAGGCAGGCTGGGGAGGAAAGCGAGATATTTGAGTGCAGAAATAACAACGAAAGAAAAGCCAAAGAAAGGGAAAGATACGGGAACAGACAGGAGGTGTATGCACGTAGTATGTACCATGTGCAAGCGCGTGCAGCCCCATGCCGTGGAGAAGGTGCCCCACGTGGTGTGCGCAGCACAGCCCCGCCAGCACGCACGTGACTAATGAGTTGACCGTGCACCTGTGTGTATGGAGCAGCCTGTGTGTGCGCTACTTACCATGTGCAAGCGCGTGCAGCCCCATGCCGTGAAACAGGTGTCCCACGTGGTGCGCGCAGCACAGCGCCACCAGCACTCCTGCCACCGCCACGTCCACGCAGGGAGGGGTGGCGGCTGTATGTACGTACCGTGTGCAAGGGCATGCAATCCCATGCCATGGAAAAGGTGCCCCACGTGGTGCGCGCAGCACAGCGCCGCCAGCACTCCTGCCACCGCCACGTCCACGCGCGCGCGCGCCACCGCACGCTGCCGCCGTTCCGCCGCCTCCCTCCGCCGCGCCTCCGCTGGTGGGGGATGTGGCAGGGCGTTGGGGAGGAGAGAGCGATGAGAGACGATGGAGAAGGGACGAGGGAGGTGGACAAGCGAAGGGAGAGAGGGAGACGCTAGAGGAATGATGGGAAGCGAAGAAGCGTCAAGTGGGGGGATAATGCTGAACAGCAGCTGAAGTCCTGTCTATGTCTGTCATACCCCCCACCCCAATACCGTCTCCATCCCTCTCCTCTGCTCCCCTCCACATCGCCCCCCTCCCCACTCTACCTACTACGTCCGCCCCTACCTTCGTCGTCCGCCTCCCCCGCGCGTCGCACGGAGCAGGGGAACCCCGCGTCTTCCACCAGTTCCGCCAGCTCCGCGCGCAGCGCCTCAAGCTCCGCCGCCTCGTCGCCCGCCTTCGCAATTGCGGGGGGGAAAGCAGCGGTAGCGGAAGGAGCGGCGGGAGCGGAGGCGGAAGCGGAAGGGGAGGCGGAAGCCTCAGGCGCGCGGAGCGAGACGGTAACAGCGGCCGATTCGGTGACGAGATTGACGCCCGCGCTAATCACGCGCGGATGCTCCGACAGCACCTGGCGCACGGCGGCGGCGCATCCCCCGCACATCATCTCGCGCACGTCCAGCAGCACCACCGCCGACGTTTCCGCTTCCGCTGCTCGCCCCGCGCCACTTCCGCCAACCTCCGCCGCTCCCGCATCTGCCGCGGCGGAAGACGGCGACTGCACTCCTTCTTTCGGCGCCGCAACTGCCGACGCGCGCACGGATTTCCGCGAGCTGGGGGGAGACGGTGATTGGACTGTGGGCTGGCCGCGGTGAAGCTCGGCGCGCAATGGCACGGAACGGCTAGCGACAGCGCCATGCTGGCGTGAGGTGCGGTCGCGTCGCGAGGGGCGACGTGTATGCGACAAATTTGAGGGATTAAAGGCTGCGAGTGAATGCGACATGCGACGCGGTTGCACAATGGGCGACGATATCGCGACCCGGGGATCGGAGATTGCGATAGTCGCGACAACCTGCACTGCGGCCATGGTGGGCGCGGAGATAACACGCAATGCCCAGCTTGGAGCCGCAGTCGGCTGAAAATGGCGACTGACGGCTCCTCCGCAACCCTCGCAGGAGCTGCGCAGTAGTGGATGGATACAAAAGTAGCGAATTGACCAAACTACTTCCGTGAACTGTGTTTTGATTGGCCCTGTTCTAGTGCCGCAGCAGCAAAGACACCCGTGAGTGACAGTGGATATGAAGGGGAGGGGGGTGCTTCGAGAAATTGCGGAATGGCAATTATCGCAAGGCGTTTTTGCCCTGCGACGAAGTCCCTGGTGCAGGCGAAGGAATTGGATGTATCGATCGCCACGCGGCGTGCTTTGAATAGTTGGAGGGTCTGTGTGAGAGTGTGTGCGACTGGCAGCTGGATTCCCCTCATTGCTGGTTCCCCCTCATCCTCCGAGCCCCCGATTCCCCAACCAGTGCCGGCATAGGCGCAAGTTCCCCCCTTCCCTCCCCCCCTCCCCCACCAGCGTGACAGCGGGCTCTGCGGAAATGTCCGCTTTGCGCGACTTTTCGCAATGACGGAGTTGCTGGATATTCACGCTTGGCACATTGGTGATTCCGCCTGGTGTATGAAATTGTTAGTAATTTGTTGCGCCAGCTGTCAATAACGGGTACAAATTCCTTCGAACCCTTACCCCTTTCTGTTGAGTGCAGCTCACGCAGAGCGACGCCAGCAAGGATCCAACGGATATTCCCAAGGAACCTCCGCGCTCTGACTCACTCCGGTTGATATATCTCAGCGGACAAGCGAGTCCGCCCGGGGGAGCTCGCTGCCCGCGGGCAAAAAAAATAAAACCCTATCGGGCATGCATCCGGTCAGGGAGGCATCAACCCTAAACACGGGGAGGCATGGATTTAGGGTTGATGCCTCCCTCGGATGGCATGCCATCCGATAGGGTTTTAGTTTTTTTCTGCCCGGGGCAGCATGTCGTCAAGTCGTCAACAGGTCGTCAGGCTTGACGACCCGTTTCCGCTGGGATATTCCGCTTTTCATTTTCAGCTTCGGAAATAGAGAGCATTGAACTAACTTGTGAGATTGTGACCTCGTACTCAGCGTAGCTTGAGAATTTGGTTTGGCACCGAAGTCACTTCAGTAGTTTCCATTCGCGGGGACGAACACCCAGACCACAGGCCGGGTCTTTGTTGTCTCGCGTGTGTGTCATCCGATAACGCTGTTCATAATGGCCGATTCAGTAACCTTCGGATCCATCAGTCATGGCCAGATGTCGTTCCACAACTGGCTGATTCAATCGCGATACGGTACGCGGAAGTGATCGACCCCCTTGCTTGTCTCAACATACGCCGATAAACACTTTATTGTCAGGTTTTTGTCGGCAATAAAGGCCTACACGTTTCGCCTCACCTTTGTTGATATGTTCGACTCTTCTTCATATGGTAACAATCTCTACGCCTCACCTCGCCCGTTTTCTCTGTTCTCTCGTTCCGCGTCCTTCTCCCCGCACCATTGGGCTCAGTGAACGGCGAGGATGACGCGCAGGGGAGGCGGAGGAAGGGCAAGGCGCGCAGCACCAAGGGGGAGGAGCACGACCCGCGCAACGCGCAGGCGCATTCTCACGGTGCGATGTGTGGCATGGTTTGTCCACGTCTTCTGGTCGCATGACTGATGCGGATAGCCGTGGCGAGGTTGCTTGCTCCCATTGGGTCGGCCACGGGTCGCACGTGGTCACCACGTGTCACATTCTCAACCCGCTTGAGCTGCAACAGCAGTTTTTGTCCACCTCTCACTCACCCTCATTCCAAATATTGACATTTCACATTCCTCTCTTGCTTCCCCCCACCCCGCTGCAGCCGTGATTGCCTCATCCCTCATGCTGCCACCAGACGCACTGCCACTGTCAGGCAAGGTACGTCACAACCGCCAAGAGTTTTCTCTGTCCCATGAGGCAACCCTAAGGCAGCCAGTTAGGGACTTTTCTCTGTCCCATGAGTTTTGAAACTTCTCAAAAAACGCCTCGTCCCTCATGCTACCACCAGACGCTCTGCCGCTGTCAGGCAAGGTTCGCCGCAGCCGCCAGACTAGGCATCTGATCAGCGGCCGTTCTCTCTCGCACGAAACGGCATGTTTGCCCAGGGTGCACCCCGTCTTCCTCTTGCTTCTCCTCCATCGTCGGATGCAACCTCGTTGCTGCTGGTTCACCAACAACTCCCTGTTCGTCACTCTCCTGCGCTTCCCTCCCCTCCCCTCCCCCGCGTGCATCAGCGAAAGGCGCGACGGTGGGTGAACGAGCGGCTGCTCAAGGACATGGCGGGCCCGCTCACTGGCTCCTCTTGAGACGTCTCATAGTTCTCCTCTTCTTCCCCCTTCGGGACCCCTTCTTCCCTCGTCCTGCATTACATCAGCGCAAGGCGAGGCGGTGGGTGAACGAGCGGCTGCTCAAGGACATGGCGGGGCCGCTCACTGGGCCCTCTTGAAAAGAAGTCTTAAAACTACCCTCTCCTTTTCTTCCTTCGGACCTCCCTCTCCGCCCATTGTGCTTTCATTACATCAGCGCAAGGCGCGGCGGTGGGTGAACGAGCGCCTGCTAAAGGACATGGCGGGGCCGCTTACTGGCCCGGACGTCACCTCACTCTATGCTCCGCCGCCTTGGGGTAGGTTGCAAGCAAGGCGTGTTAGAGCAAACCCAACACCACCCGTTCTCTCCCGCTCCGCACATCTCCTCTCCGCCTCTTCCGATCACAACTCTCTCTCGTTTCAGTCCCCCATCTCTTGCATTTATCTCTCTTCCTCACATCACCCCTGTTCCTCCCACCACCTCCCTCGCAGGAGAGAAGACAGAGCGGCCGTGTTGGAGAGGCTGTCAGATGTGGCGCTTTCCACGCCCTTTGGGGCGCTCTTGGGTAGCTGTGCTGTGCTCGCTTCCCTTCTCCTGTCGAACCCCTTTTTGCCTTGTCCTCTCCCTCCTCGCATCGTGTTTCCTCGCAGGAGAGAAGACAGAGAGGCCAGTGCTCGAGCGGCTGTCAGACGTGGCTCTCGCCAGGCCCTTTGTGGCGCCCTTGGGTGGCTCTGCTCTCCTCCCTTCCACTGTCTACCCCCCTTGTCCTCCCCCTCCTCGCATCCTCGCAGGAGAGAAGACAGAGAGGCCAGTGCTCGAGCGGCTGTCAGACGTGGCTCTCGCCAGGCCCTTTGTGGCGCCCTTGGGTGGCTCTGCTCTCCTCCCTTCCACTGTCTAACCCCCTTGTCCTCCCCCTCCTCGCATCCTCGCAGGAGAGAAGACAGAGAGGCCAGTGCTCGAGCGGCTGTCAGACGTGGCTCTCGCCAGGCCCTTTGTGGCGCCCTTGGGTGGCTCTGCTCTCCTCCCTTCCACTGTCTACCCCCCTTGTCCTCCCCCTCCTCGCATCCTCGCAGGAGAGAAGACAGAGAGGCCAGTGCTCGAGCGGCTGTCAGACGTGGCTCTCGCCAGGCCCTTTGTGGCGCCCTTGGGTGGCTCTGCTCTCCTCCCTTCCACTGTCTACCCCCCTTGTTCTCCCCCTCCTCGCATCCTCGCAGGAGAGAAGACAGAGAGGCCAGTGCTCGAGCGGCTGTCAGACGTGGCTCTCGCCAGGCCCTTTGTGGCGCCCTTGGGTGGCTCTGCTCTCCTCCCTTCCACTGTCTACCCCCCTTGTCCTCCCCCTCCTCGCATCCTCGCAGGAGAGAAGACAGAGAGGCCAGTGCTCGAGCGGCTGTCAGACGTGGCTCTCGCCAGGCCCTTTGTGGCGCCCTTGGGTGGCTCTGCTCTCCTCCCTTCCACTGTCTACCCCCCTTGTCCTCCCCCTCCTCGCATCCTCGCAGGAGAGAAGACAGAGAGGCCAGTGCTCGAGCGGCTGTCAGACCTGGCTCTCGCCAGGCCCTTTGTGGCGCCCTTGGGTGGCTCTGCTCTCCTCCCTTCCACTGTCTAACCCCCTTGTCCTCCCCCTCCTCGCATCCTCGCAGGAGAGAAGACAGAGAGGCCAGTGCTCGAGCGGCTGTCAGACGTGGCTCTCGCCAGGCCCTTTGTGGCGCCCTTGGGTGGCTCTGCTCTCCTCCCTTCCACTGTCTACCCCCCTTGTCCTCCCCCTCCTCGCATCCTCGCAGGAGAGAAGACAGAGCGGCCAGTGTTGGAGCGGCTGTCAGATGTGGCGCTCTCCACGCCCTTTGAAGCCTTCGTGTGCCAGCAATACCTTGCAGGGGCTACTTTCAACAAGGTGCGTGTAGCACGACTTTTAGATAGAGGACCTCGCCTTGCCACACGGAATCTAGCTTACCACAAGCACTGAAATGGTCTGTGGATGAACGAGACGAGCTAGCTAATCCCCTCCTTGTGGTCACTCGCTCCACACCCCCCACCTGCGGCCACAGCTGCCGCCTCGCAAGGCCAAGAGCAAGAAGCAGACTCGGGAGCAGGCCAGCAGCAGCACCCACCATTCAGATCAGCAGGAGGTAGCTATTATCCTCCGTGTCTTCTCATCCGACTGTCTCTCACCCCACACCCCTGCGCACACAGTTGCCATCCCGCAAGGCCAAGAGCAAGCAGTCTCGGGAGCAGGCCAGCAGCAGCAACCAGCACTCAGAAGCAGCAGGGGGAGCAGCAGTGGTGGCGGCATCGCAGGCAGCGTGGAGGCGGGTGCCGGAGGCAGCTAAAGGGGCCATGCGGCGCGCTGCAGGCTGGGTGGTGGTGGGGACTGTTGAGGTGAGGCCACGCAGGCACTGTGTGTTCTTTAAGTCGACTCAGACGCTGGCAGCATCAAGGCGGGCCTAAGTTGCATGGAGGCGCGTGCCGGAGGCAGCGAGAGGGGCCATGCGGCGTGCTGCAGGCTGGGTGGTGGTGGGGAGCGTTGAGGTGAGGACGGGTAGTCATGGTGTGATATGTTCTTGGCCCATGTGCGTGTTCTGCGACTGTTGAATCGTGTGCCGTCGCTTAGTGTGTGACTGTAGTGAGATCACTTTAGCTGCCCGAAAATGCCGTTCTCTTTTGTATGACTCCTCTTGCTGACCCCACCCCCCCCCCCCCCCCCCCCCCCCCCCGCTTCCCACCCCCTCAGGCTCTGCTGGTGGCATTTCTGCAACCGCCACCTGCTGTTGCTACTGCCACCACTGGCGCCACAAGCAGTCCAGGAGAAACGAGCGGTGAGGATGGTAGGGGGGACGACAGCAGCACTGTGCCTTGTGCAGCAGCCATTTCTGGGGGTGATGGAGCAGAACAGCAGCAGCAGGTGGAGAAGGAGGAGCAAGAGCAGGTGGTTGGAGAGGGGATGCTGGAGGGGAGTGGGAGTGTGAGTGGGATTGGGAGTGTGTTGCCGGAGTGGTGTGTGCAGGCAGCATGGGGCGACGTGGAGAGTGCTTTGGAGGCACATGGAGGGAAGCAGAAGGGGGGCGTGAGCGGCGGTGCAGGTGCAGCAGAAGGGGATGCGGACGGGGGTGGTGCGGGGAGGGGAGGGGAGGGAAGGCAGGTGCTGGTGTTTGCTGCAGATGATGCCTTCCTCAGACTGCTGCTGCACGGCATGTGCCAGGTGGGTAGTTTTCTGTGTGTGTCGTAGAGGGTGGTGCATATCATATGTCAGCTGGGTGGTTTTACTGTTGAATGCATCGCGGTGGGTGCTGGTGTTTGCTGCAGGCGATGCCTTTCTTAGACTGCTGCTGCACGGCATATGCCAGGTGGGTAATGCATGCTGTGTGTCTGGTGGGTTGTGCAAGGCATGTGCCCCCTTTCCCGCTTTCCAACACTCCCCCCTCTCCCATTCCTACCTTCCCTCCTCCCTCTCCTAAACCCCACACCAGTTCCACGGAATGCGGTCACTCTCTCTACCCGCAGCCAGCCTACCCGCGCACCTCCTCCTCTCCTTCCCCGCCCACCTCGCGCCCTCCACTCTCACCGTCGCCTGGCTTCCTCTCCCCCTGCCCTCTCAGCCGCCCCCCTCTGCCTCCCCATCACAACCGCAAGAGCTGCCGCTCCCAGCGCCTCAAGAGAGTAACGTTGTCACAGCAGACCACCCTGCCTGGCCCTCGCATCACATTCGCCTGCACCACATACTGCCTGCCTGCCCCCTGCCTATCCCCGCATAGTACCTGACTTTGTTCAGAGTTATGAACTTGAAATGCTGCTGTCTGCACTGAATCGCTGTTTTCTTCTGTTTCACATATGCTGCTGTGTTCTGTCGCATACCGGTACTCTGTATGCATTGAGGCTGTGCCATAGGCTTTGGTCCATCTGTGTGAGTCTAACCAGAGCCATGGAAAGGGTTCCTGTGCTTGCCAGCAACAGCACAGCACATGTACCGTAGCTGAGCTGTTAACCAGAAGTTAACATTCCCAACATACTGGCCACTTCAGGGTAGTTACGGTAGCACTTCAGGATAGATATGGTAGCATGGGAGCAACTAGACCATTTGTGTTGGGCCTGCTTGATGCAGCCTCAAGCTCCAATGCTATTGACCATTGAACAGCTGACAGATTGTGAAAGTTGAGACAATGAGAAAGGCGGCAGGAGTTGGGAGATGGGCGATGGGAGATGGGAGAGGAGTTGGAGTAGAAAGACAGCAGGCGTGTGTGTGACATATGGCGGGAGAAGGGGGTTGGTTAGGGTAGGTGAGACACGAGATATGGGTGGAGAGGTGGTGAGTGGGGGGTGGGGTGGGGGAGGAGACGTGGGATCAAAGGTGTGTATTGGTGGAAGGGGACAGGCAGGGATGGACGGGAGAGAAAGGAGGGAACATGGGCAGCAGGCTAAACCACCTGCAGGAAAAAACGCTAAGGTTATAATACACGTGAACGATATCTTCAACATGGGGGTGTAGCTCACATGGTAGAGCGATCGCTTCGCATGCGATAGGTAAGGGGATCGATACCCCTCACCTCCACTCCAGCTTTTACCATTCTCCTCACTTTGTCCTCTCTTCTCCCTTTTTGCCTCCCGCGCGAATGCCATTGCGCTCATCGCCACCCGCGTTTGCTGCGCGTCCGTCCGCGCACTTGCGTGACAGTCGCGCGACATTATTGCAGCCATGGACCCGCCGCGCCCCGTGTGGTTAGACTGTGATCCAGGTGCAAGGGATGGTCCGTCAGCCGCATTCTCTTTGCTTCCCGCGGCGCATCCGCTTTCTCCCCCCCTTTCCCCCTCCCCCCACACGCAGCGCATCCGCTATCATGCCGCGCCGTGGTTACGAGCTCATTGTGGTGTCCGTGCGACACGTGTCTTTCTGCGGAGATAGCGTTCTGCTGACTCATTACATGAAATGCTGATGTCATTCTGACACATTGCAGGCCACGATGACGCCATGGCCATTATTCTTGCCGCACACACCCCGTCTCTGCACCTGCTTGGCATCAGCACTGTTCACGGCAACCAATCAGTGAGTCCCACGTGTCAATAAGATCCTTCCGCGCTCCTTCTCGCCTAACCTGCTCTGTCCTCGTCAATCCGTCCAGCAACAGAGCGCCAAGTCCCATCTCAATGCCACTCCTAAACCCGATTTCACGTCCTGCCGCCCGCCCCTGCAACCCCCAACCGTGCCAGGTGCAGAAAGTGACAATCAATGCGAGGCGGGTGCTGCTGATGTACGTGCGGCCCGACATTCGTGAGTACTGTTGGGGCTCTCTAGGGGCGCCTATCTCTAGGGGCGCCTATCTCTAGGGGCGCCTATCTCAAGGGGCGCCTATCTCTAGGGGCGCCTATCTCTAGGGGCGCCTATCTCTAGGGGCGCCTATCTCTAGGGGCGCCTATCTCTAGGGGCGCCTATCTCTAGGGGCGCCTATCTCAAGGGGCGCCTATCTCTAGGGGCGCCTATCTCTACGGGCGCCTATCTCTAGGGGCGCCTATCTCTAGGGGCGCCTATCTCTAGGGGCGCCAATCTCTAGGGGCGCCTATCTCAAGGGGCGCCTATCTCTAGGGGCGCCTATCTCTAGGGGCGCCTATCTCTAGGGGCGCCTATCTCTAGGGGCGCCTATCTCTAGGGGCGCCTATCTCTAGGGGCGCCTATCTCTAGGGGCGCCTATCTCTGGGGGCGCCTATCTCTAGGGGCGCCTATCTCTAGGGGCGCCTATCTCTAGGGGCGCCTATCTCTAGGGGCGCCTATCTCTAGGGGCGCCTCTCTCTAGGGGCGCCTATCTCTAGGGGCGCCTATCTCTAGGGGCGCCTATCTCTAGGGGCGCCTATCTCTAGGGGCGCCTATCTCTAGGGGCGCCTCTCTCTAGGGGCGCCTATCTCTAGGGGCGCCTATCTCTAGGGGCGCCTATCTCTAGGGGCGCCTATCTCTAGGGGCGCCTATCTCTAGGGGCGCCTATCTCTAGGGGCGCCTATCTCTAGGGGCGCCTATCTCTAGGGGCGCCTATCTCTAGGGGCGCCTATCTCTAGGGGCGCCTATCTCTAGGGGCGCCTATCTCTAGGGGCGCCTATCTCTAGGGGCGCCTCTCTCTAGGGGCGCCTATCTCTAGGGGCGCCTATCTCTAGGGGCGCCTATCTCTAGGGGCGCCTATCTCTAGGGGCGCCAATCTCTAGGGGCGCCTATCTCTAGGGGCGCCTATCTCTAGGGGCGCCTATCTCTAGGGGCGCCTATCTCTAGGGGCGCCTATCTCTAGGGGCGCCTATCTCTAGGGGCGCCTATCTCTAGGGGCGCCTATCTCTAGGGGCGCCTATCTCTAGGGGCGCCTATCTCTAGGGGCGCCTATCTCTAGGGGCGCCTATCTCTAGGGGCGCCTATCTCTAGGGGCGCCAATCTCTAGGGGCGCCTATCTCTAGGGGCGCCTATCTCTAGGGGCGCCTATCTCTAGGGGCGCCTATCTCTAGGGGCGCCTATCTCTAGGGGCGCCTATCTCTAGGGGCGCCTATCTCTAGGGGCGCCTATCTCTATGGGCGCCTATCTCTATGGGCGCCTATCTCTATGGGCGCCTATCTCTAGGGGCGCCTATCTCTAGGGGCGCCTATCTCTAGGGGCGCCTATCTCTAGGGGCGCCTATCTCTAGGGGCGCCTATCTCTAGGGGCGCCTATCTCTAGGGGCGCCTATCTCTAGGGGCGCCTATCTCTAGGGGCGCCTATCTCTAGGGGCGCCTATCTCTAGGGGCGCCTCTCTCTAGGGGCGCCTCTCTCTAGGGGCGCCTATCTCTAGGGGCGCCTATCTCTAGGGGCGCCTATCTCTAGGGGCGCCTATCTCTATGGGCGCCTATCTCTAGGGGCGCCTATCTCTAGGGGCGCCTATCTCTAGGGGCGCCTATCTCTAGGGGCGCCTCTCTCTAGGGGCGCCTATCTCTATGGGCGCCTATCTCTAGGGGCGCCTATCTCTAGGGGCGCCTATCTCTATGGGCGCCTATCTCTAGGGGCGCCAATCTCTAGGGGCGCCTATCTCTAGGGGCGCCTATCTCTAGGGGCGCCTATCTCTAGGGGCGCCTATCTCTAGGGGCGCCTATCTCTAGGGGCGCCTATCTCTACGGGCGCCTATCTCTATGGGCGCCTATCTCTATGGGCGCCTATCTCTAGGGGCGCCTATCTCTAGGGGCGCCTATCTCTAGGGGCGCCTATCTCTAGGGGCGCCTCTCTCTAGGGGCGCCTATCTCTAGGGGCGCCTATCTCTAGGGGCGCCTATCTCTAGGGGCGCCTATCTCTACGGGCGCCTATCTCTAGGGGCGCCTATCTCTATGGCCGCCTATCTCTAGGGGCGCCTATCTCTAGGGGCGCCTATCTCTAGGGGCGCCTATCTCTATGGGCGCCTATCTCTAGGGGCGCCTATCTCTAGGGGCGCCTATCTCTATGGGCGCCTATCTCTATGGGCGCCTATCTCTATGGGCGCCTATCTCTAGGGGCGCCTATCTCTAGGGGCGCCTATCTCTAGGGGCGCCTATCTCTAGGGGCGCCTATCTCTAGGGGCGCCTATCTCTAGGGGCGCCTATCTCTAGGGGCGCCTATCTCTAGGGGCGCCTATCTCTATGGGCGCCTATCTCTAGGGGCGCCTATCTCTAGGGGCGCCTATCTCTAGGGGCGCCTATCTCTAGGGGCGCCTATCTCTAGGGGCGCCTATCTCTAGGGGCGCCTATCTCTAGGGGCGCCTATCTCTATGGGCGCCTATCTCTAGGGGCGCCTATCTCTAGGGGCGCCTATCTCTATGGGCGCCTATCTCTAGGGGCGCCTATCTCTAGGGGCGCCTATCTCTAGGGGCGCCTATCTCTAGGGGCGCCTATCTCTAGGGGCGCCTATCTCTAGGGGCGCCTATCTCTAGGGGCGCCTATCTCTAGGGGCGCCTATCTCTATGGGCGCCTATCTCTAGGGGCGCCTATCTCTAGGGGCGCCTATCTCTAGGGGCGCCTATCTCTAGGGGCGCCTCTCTCTAGGGGCGCCTATCTCTAGGGGCGCCTATCTCTAGGGGCGCCTATCTCTACGGGCGCCTATCTCTAGGGGCGCCTATCTCTAGGGGCGCCAATCTCTAGGGGCGCCTATCTCTAGGGGCGCCTATCTCTAGGGGCGCCTCTCTCTAGGGGCGCCTATCTCTAGGGGCGCCTATCTCTAGGGGCGCCTATCTCTACGGGCGCCTATCTCTAGGGGCGCCTATCTCTACGGGCGCCTATCTCTAGGGGCGCCTATCTCTAGGGGCGCCTATCTCTAGGGGCGCCTCTCTCTAGGGGCGCCTATCTCTATGGGCGCCTATCTCTAGGGGCGCCTATCTCTAGGGGCGCCTATCTCTACGGGCGCCTATCTCTAGGGGCGCCTATCTCTATGGCCGCCTATCTCTAGGGGCGCCTATCTCTAGGGGCGCCTATCTCTAGGGGCGCCTATCTCTAGGGGCGCCTATCTCTAGGGGCGCCTATCTCTAGGGGCGCCTATCTCTAGGGGCGCCTATCTCTAGGGGCGCCTATCTCTAGGGGCGCCTATCTCTAGGGGCGCCTATCTCTAGGGGCGCCTATCTCTAGGGGCGCCTATCTCTAGGGGCGCCTATCTCTAGGGGCGCCTATCTCTAGGGGCGCCTCTCTCTAGGGGCGCCTATCTCTATGGGCGCCTATCTCTAGGGGCGCCTATCTCTAGGGGCGCCTATCTCTAGGGGCGCCTATCTCTAGGGGCGCCTATCTCTAGGGGCGCCTATCTCTAGGGGCGCCTATCTCTAGGGGCGCCTATCTCTAGGGGCGCCTATCTCTAGGGGCGCCTATCTCTAGGGGCGCCTATCTCTAGGGGCGCCTATCTCTAGGGGCGCCTATCTCTAGGGGCGCCTATCTCTAGGGGCGCCTATCTCTAGGGGCGCCTATCTCTAGGGGCGCCTATCTCTAGGGGCGCCTATCTCTAGGGGCGCCTATCTCTAGGGGCGCCTATCTCTAGGGGCGCCTATCTCTAGGGGCGCCTATCTCTAGGGGCGCCTATCTCTAGGGGCGCCTATCTCTAGGGGCGCCTATCTCTAGGGGCGCCTATCTCTAGGGGCGCCTATCTCTAGGGGCGCCTATCTCTAGGGGCGCCTATCTCTAGGGGCGCCTATCTCTAGGGGCGCCTATCTCTAGGGGCGCCTATCTCTAGGGGCGCCTATCTCTAGGGGCGCCTATCTCTAGGGGCGCCTATCTCTAGGGGCGCCTATCTCTAGGGGCGCCTATCTCTAGGGGCGCCTATCTCTAGGGGCGCCTATCTCTAGGGGCGCCTATCTCTAGGGGCGCCTATCTCTATGGGCGCCTATCTCTATGGGCGCCAATCTCTAGGGGCGCCTATCTCTAGGGGCGCCTATCTCTAGGGGCGCCTATCTCTAGGGGCGCCTATCTCTATGGGCGCCTATCTCTATGGGCGCCTATCTCTAGGGGCGCCTATCTCTATGGGCGCCTATCTCTAGGGGCGCCTATCTCTATGGCCACCTATCTCTAGGGGCGCCTATCTCTAGGGGCGCCTATCTCTAGGGGCGCCTATCTCTAGGGGCGCCTATCTCTAGGGGCGCCTATCTCTAGGGGCGCCTATCTCTAGGGGCGCCTATCTCTAGGGGCGCCTATCTCTATGGCCGCCTATCTCTAGGGGCGCCTATCTCTAGGGGCGCCTATCTCTAGGGGCGCCTATCTCTAGGGGCGCCTATCTCTAGGGGCGCCTATCTCTAGGGGCGCCTATCTCTAGGGGCGCCTATCTCTAGGGGCGCCTATCTCTATGGGCGCCTATCTCTAGGGGCGCCTATCTCTATGGGCGCCTATCTCTAGGGGCGCCTATCTCTATGGGCGCCTATCTCTAGGGGCGCCTATCTCTAGGGGCGCCTATCTCTAGGGGCGCCTATCTCTATGGGCGCCTATCTCTATGGCCGCCTATCTCTATGGCCGCCTATCTCTAGGGGCGCCTATCTCTAGGGGCGCCTATCTCTAGGGGCGCCTATCTCTATGGCCGCCTATCTCTAGGGGCGCCTATCTCTAGGGGCGCCTATCTCTAGGGGCGCCTATCTCTAGGGGCGCCTATCTCTAGGGGCGCCTATCTCTATGGGCGCCTATCTCTATGGGCGCCTATCTCTAGGGGCGCCTATCTCTAGGGGCGCCTATCTCTAGGGGCGCCTATCTCTAGGGGCGCCTATCTCTATGGGCGCCTATCTCTAGGGGCGCCTATCTCTAGGGGCGCCTATCTCTAGGGGCGCCTATCTCTAGGGGCGCCTATCTCTATGGGCGCCTATCTCTAGGGGCGCCTATCTCTAGGGGCGCCAATCTCTATGGGCGCCAATCTCTAGGGGCGCCTATCTCTATGGGCGCCTATCTCTAGGGGCGCCTATCTCTATGGGCGCCTATCTCTAGGGGCGCCTATCACTAGCGCCGCCCCCACTGAGCCCCCGCTTAGCGCCCCCGCTTAGCGCCCCCACATAGCGCCCCCACATAGCGCCCCCACTTAGCGCCCCCACTTAGCGCCCCCACTTAGCGCCCCCACTTAGCGCCCTTGCGCTAAGTAAGCAAGAAAGATGCCCCCTTGCGCCCCTCCCCTTGCCTGCTCCCCTCCTGCTCCGTGCCTCTCAACAACTCCAGCGGTGTCCTTCGGGCAGGCCTCTCCCTTAATGCGCGCCAGGCAGCACTGCGCTGAGATCCACGTAGGCAGCACTGCGCTGAGATCCACGTAGGCAGCACTGCGCTCCCCTTGGAGTCGGACAGCAATCACGTCTCCCCTTGCTCTCCTCCCCCTTTTCCCTCCCTCCCTGCCTGCTGCTCTCCCTTCCTTGTACCATCACCCAATTCCCCCCATCCACCAGCCGTGTTCTGCGGGCAGGCCTCCCCCTTAATGCGCGCCAGGCAGCACTGCGTGGAGATTCACGGGGAGTCGGGGCTAGATGGGCCTGAGAGGGGGGGAACAGCAACTCACATGCCATGCCTCCCTGCTCCCCTCCCCTCGCTCCACCCCCAATCTCCGCCAGCCGTGTTCTGCGGGCAAGCATCCCCCTTAATGCGCGCCAGGCAGCACTGCGCGGAGATTCATGGGGAGTCGGGGCTAGATGGGCCTGACTGGGGGGAGGGAGAGGCGCAGGGGGAGGGGGAACGGGGGAAGGGAAAGGGGGGTGAAGTGGGAGGAGCAGGGAGCAGGGAGGACAGGGAGGAGAGCGGTGGGAGTGGGGAGAGAGGCGAGAGGGAGGAAACGCCTCTATGGGGGACAGCAGAAGAGGAGGCAGAGGAAGTGGCAGAGTTAGAGCGGGAGACGGGTGGGGGAGGGGTGGAGGGAAGCAGAGAAGGGGAGGGAGAGATGCGAGAAGGGGGAGAGGGCGGAGAGGAGGAGGGGGATGTGCCAGCTGTGACTCACATGTATCGCCACATTCGGTGTGCGTTTTTAGAGAGGCAGGCTGCGATGAGGGAGCGGAAACAGGGAGGAGGGAGGAATAGCTTGAACGGCGAGCAAGGCACAGGGAAGGAGAAACGAGTCGGTGAGGTCTCTGTTGTCACTGATGGGAAGGATGCAGCAGGGAATGGGAATGCAGCAGGGGGAGGGGGGGTGGTTGCAGCGGCAGCAGAGGACGGGCCTCCAGCAAAGAGAAGAAGGGAGGAGGACAAAGATCCAGCGACAGGGTTGTCTGGGGCAATGGCAGATAATGAAATCACAGATGGTGTAATGACAGATGACACAGTGGCAGACGAGGCAGCGGTGGTAAACGGTGATCCTCCAGCTGCTGACACAGCCCATGCTGCAGCCGCTGCTGCTGTTGGCACTGCTGTCGGTACCACTGCTGCAGGTGGTGGGGCTGGGAAGAAGGAAGTGTGGGAGGGACGGCGGGAGAGGGTTGCATTGGTGTGCACAGGCAGCCTCACCAACGCTGCTCTGCTGCTCACCATGCATCCGCAAGTCAAGAGCATGATCGAGGTGAGCGGAGAGTATGTGGTGGTGTGTGGTGTGTTTTGGTGTGTGGTGAGTGTGTGGTGTCGGGTGTCTGGGTTGGGTTAGCTGGTGTGTACAGGCTCTCTCACCAACGTTGCCTTGCTGCTCGCGGTGCATCCCCGAGTCAAGGGCATGATCGAGGGGAGTGGGTGTTGAGTGGTGTGTTTTGGTGAGTGGTGAGTGTGTAGGGTAGGGTGTCTGGGCTGGTTCAGCTGTTATGTACAGGCGGGCAGTCTCACCAACGCTGCTCTGCTGGTCACAGTTCACCCCCGAGTCAAGAGCATACCATGAGGGTTCCTGTCGTTCCTCAAAGCAGCCTTCTTTCTACCTCTGCTCCAAGCTCTTCCTTGCTCCAGCTCTATCCGTTTCTCTCCCTCTCCCCTCTCTACTCCCCCTTACCTTCTCTCCCATGTCCTCCCTCTCTCCCATTCCCCTTCTGCCTCCCCCCCGCCCGTGTCCGCATTTCCAATTTCACCTCCCTCTCCCATCGGCCACTGAACACGGCTGTCCCCCATCACTCGCCAACACGGAACAACGCACCAAGATTGTCCTCATGGGTGCGTGTCACCCACTGCAACCGCTTGTCACCGCACTGTTTGCTTCTCCTCCCATGCATCCCCTTATCCCGCCTCCTTCGCTTTTTATAATTCCCCGCTACCATGTCTCGAACGGTCCTCACTCCGCCCTCACTCCCTCCTTCCCTTTGTTGACTCTCTCTCGTGCCTCTCATCTCTCTTCTCTCCCTCATCGCGCCACAGGAGGGGCTCTTGGTCTTGGCAACACTGGTACGTGCTACAGTGAGATATCATGCCTAGGCCTCCTTGCTCCTTGCTCCTCCTTGCACTGCTTTGCGCCATTCTCCATGTCTGCGCATCTTTTGACATCTTCGCCCGTCAGTTGCAACGTGTCCTCCATCCCTGGTTCTTTCCCTTCATCTCACTGCCTCTCTTGTCCCCAAATCGCGCAGTTTTCTTTCTCTTGCTCCCGCATCCGCATATCTTGCTTCCTTCTTTCTCTCTTTTCTGGCTTTCATATGTTTCTCTCTCTTCTTACCCATGTCACTCACGTCACACCTCCCTCTTGCCACGCGTTCTGGCAGGCCCAGTAGCCGAGTTCAACATCCAGGTGTGATGGAGTGGGGTGGGGTGGAGTTTGGTGGGGTGGTACTGGTGGGTTGCGTAATAGCACGTTTATGCATTCACATACACACACAGCATTTCACATTTGCACATTTCACATTTAAGGAACAATAGAGCCCAGACGTATGCTGAACTACGTATAATGAGCTGCATATATTTCCCTCCTCATTTTCTCCTCCCTTCCTCCTCTCCCCTCTTCCCCTCCTCCCCTCCCCCGCTCCTCCCATCCTCCCCTCCTCCCCTCCTCCCCTCCCCTCTGCTCCCTTCCAGTGTGATCCTGAGGCAGCGAGCATAGTGTTCAACAGCGGCTGCCCGCTCACAATGGTACCCCTAGAGGTATGCAGAACCGCACGCACAGCACTGTCCTCATTCCCATCCTCAGTCACACCCGTCTCGATACGCATACCAGGGTACAAAGGGACACCCAGAATGTGTTCAAAAATGGCTGCCCGCTCAACATGATGCCTCTGGAGATATGATACGCAGAACCACATGAACAGTGCAGTCCCAATACCCATACCCACCCACACCTATATCCAAAGGAGCAGCCTCCACTGTGTTCAACAGCGGTTGCCCACTTACCATGGTATGGTACCACTGGAGGTGAATTCTTCCTCCTTATGTCCCCTCCCTGTCCACATGCCATTTTAACTACCATGATCTGCCCTCTCGCGCTTCTCCACTTCAGCCTGCTTCCTTCTCCCTTCCCTCCATCTCACCACCCTCTGCCTTACCCCTCATGTCACTCACACGGCCGTATCTACCCTCCAGCCGATGCTCATGTCCCCTCGCCTCTTTTAAGTGGGAACTCTGCCCCTGCCTTTACCATCCGCCCCTCAGGTCACACACACGGCCCTGCTCTACCCGTCAGTTGCTGCTCGCATCTCCTCCTGTCCTCCTCACTGCCCTATCTGCGCCCCCTCCTCCACTCATGCTGCTCCCCCTCCTCCTTCCTTAGCAATCCCATGCACCTCTGCTGCTGATGCCACTCCAAGCACTGATGGTGCTGCTACGGCTGTAGCCGCTACAACGGCCGACGCCAGCCTCACAGCTCCCGCTGCCAGCACTGGCGGATGCCTTGGCTGCTACAGGGGGAGAAAACTGCGGCAAACAGGTGAGCAACCCAAAGCACTGGCGCTGCTGCTACGGCTGTAGCAGCTACAGCTGCATGTCATTCCGCTATCCACCTCTCAGCTCCCACTGCCAGCGCTGGCAGCTGCCTTGGCTGCTGTAGGGGGAGAAGGCTGCGGCAAACTGGTGAGCTTTGAATCGACTCATAATACGCTGCTACAGCTGCCGTCAATTTCACTAGCCTCACACCTCCGGCCATTCCAGCGCTGTCAGCTGCCTTGACTGTGATAGGGGGAGAACTCAAAGGTGTGCGTTTCGCCAAAACAATCGGCTCTCACCACCCGACCCTGCGTGCTCCCTCTGCTTATCCTCTTCTCCTTTCCCACCCCACATGGCAGTTTCTGCATTGATGCATTTCTTTGCTCACACATAATGCAAAGACTGCATTCCCCTAGGCCTCATTGCACGCCCCATCCACCCGCGTAGCCCCCGCTCCGCTGCACGCTCCCTTCTAATGCTTTCTCCCGTTTCCCCCTCATCTCTCACCCCCCAATCACAGTCTCAGCGTTAATGCATTTCTTCGCCCGCACGTACCTCGAGGTCTTTGGTTTCCAGCACCCCCCGCTGCACGACCCCATCAGCTTCTCATCTCCCTCTGCTTACCATCTCCCCTCCGCCCAATCACAGTCTCAGCGTTAATGCACTTCTTCGCCCGCACGTACCTCGAGGTCTTTGGCTTCCAACACCCACCCCTACATGACCCCTGTGCTGTCGCCTTCGTCATAGCTCCAACCCTCTTCAAGGTACATACAGCACTAACAGCGTCAGGTCATGTTTCCACCATGTCTCCACCACTCACCTCTGCATGACCCCTGCGCTCTTAACTCCATAGTAGCCCCGTCTTTGCACAATGCAGATTGTGGGCCCATAGTGCAATGCCTCACTTGCACTCCCTCTCCCCACGCCACTCTCTTCCTTTACCAACTGTCTGCACCTGTCTCAGCCCATAGCCCACAGCCCATAGCCTACAGTGCAGTGCATAGCTCCTCCTTCCTTCTCCACCTCCCAGGACTGGAGCTCAAGACTAGAGCTCAGGACTGGAGCTCAAGACTTGAGCTCAGGGCTGGAGCTCAGAGCTGGAGCTCAGGGCTGGAGCGTCGACTCGTCTCTAAGAGCGTCGACTCTCCTCTAAGAGCGTCGACTCGCCTCTACGAGCATCGACTTGCCTCTAAGAGCGTCGACTTGCCTCTCTAAGAGCGTCGACTCGCCTCTAAGAGCGTCGACTCTCCTCTAAGAGCGTCGACTCGCCTCTACGAGTGTCGACTCGCCTCTACGAGCGTCGACTCGCATCTAAGAGCGTCGACTTGCCTCTCTAAGAGCGTCGACTCGCCTCTAAGAGCGTCGACTCGCCTCTCTAAGAGCGTCGACTCGCCTCTCTAAGAGCGTCGACTCGCCTCTACGAGCGTCGACTCGCCTCTACGAGCGTCGACTCGCCTATACGAACGTCAATTCGTCTCTTTAAGAGCGTCGATTCGCCTCTAGGAGCGTCGACTCGCCGTTAAGAGCGTCGACTCGCCTCTATGAGCGTCGACTCGCCTCTCTAAGAGCGTCGACTCGCCTCTAAGAGCGTCGACTCGCCTCTAAGAGCGTCGACTCGCCTCTAGGAGCATCGACTCGCCTCTCTAAGAGCGTCGCCTCTCCTCTAAGAGCGTCGACTCGCCTCTCTTAGAGCGTCGACTCGCCTCTAAGAGCGTCGACTCGCCTCTAAGAGCGTCAAGTCGCCTTTAGGATCATCGACTTGCCTCTCTTAGAGCGTCGAGTCGCCTCTAAGAGCGTCGCCTCTCCTCTAAGAGCGTCGACTCGCCTCTCTTAGAGCGTCGACTCGCCTCTAAGAGCCTCGACTCTCCGTTAAGAGCGTCAAGTCGCCTCTAGGAGCGTCGACTCGCCTCTCTTAGAGCGTCGACTCGCCTCTAAGAGCGTCGCCTCTCCTCTAAGAGCGTCGACTCGCCTCTCTTAGAGCGTCGACTCGCCTCTTAGAGCGTCGACTCGCCTCTAAGAGCGTCGACTCGCCTCTAAGAGCCTCGACTCTCCGTTAAGAGCGTCGCCTCTCCTCTAAAAGCGTCGACTCGCATCTCTTAGAGCGTCGACTCGCCTCTAAGAGCGTCGACTCTCCTCTAAGAGCGTCGACTCGCCTCTACGAGCATCGACTTGCCTCTAAGAGCGTCGACTTGCCTCTCTAAGAGCGTCGACTCGCCTCTAAGAGCGTCGACTCTCCTCTAAGAGCGTCGACTCGCCTCTACGAGTGTCGACTCGCCTCTACGAGCGTCGACTCGCATCTAAGAGCGTCGACTTGCCTCTCTAAGAGCGTCGACTCGCCTCTAAGAGCGTCGACTCGCCTCTCTAAGAGCGTCGACTCGCCTCTCTAAGAGCGTCGACTCGCCTCTACGAGCGTCGACTCGCCTCTACGAGCGTCGACTCGCCTATACGAACGTCAATTCGTCTCTTTAAGAGCGTCGATTCGCCTCTAGGAGCGTCGACTCGCCGTTAAGAGCGTCGACTCGCCTCTATGAGCGTCGACTCGCCTCTCTAAGAGCGTCGACTCGCCTCTAAGAGCGTCGACTCGCCTCTAAGAGCGTCGACTCGCCTCTAGGAGCATCGACTCGCCTCTCTAAGAGCGTCGCCTCTCCTCTAAGAGCGTCGACTCGCCTCTCTTAGAGCGTCGACTCGCCTCTAAGAGCGTCGACTCGCCTCTAAGAGCGTCAAGTCGCCTTTAGGATCATCGACTTGCCTCTCTTAGAGCGTCGAGTCGCCTCTAAGAGCGTCGCCTCTCCTCTAAGAGCGTCGACTCGCCTCTCTTAGAGCGTCGACTCGCCTCTAAGAGCCTCGACTCTCCGTTAAGAGCGTCAAGTCGCCTCTAGGAGCGTCGACTCGCCTCTCTTAGAGCGTCGACTCGCCTCTAAGAGCGCCGCCTCTCCTCTAAGAGCGTCGACTCGCCTCTCTTAGAGCGTCGACTCGCCTCTTAGAGCGTCGACTCGCCTCTAAGAGCGTCGACTCGCCTCTAAGAGCCTCGACTCTCCGTTAAGAGCGTCGCCTCTCCTCTAAGAGCGTCGACTCGCATCTCTTAGAGCGTCGACTCGCCTCTAAGAGCGTCGACTCGCCTCTAAGAGCGTCGACTCGCCTCTCTTAAAGCGTCGACTCGCCTCTACGAGCGTCGACTCGCCTCTAAGAGCCTCGACTCGCCTCTCTAAGAGCGTCGACTCGCCTCTATGAGAGTCGACTCGCCTCTCTTAGAGCGTCGAGTCGCCTCTAAGAGTGTCGATTCGCCTCTAGGAGCGTCTACTCGCCTCTCTTGGAGCGTCGACTCGCCTCTGAAAGCGTCCACTCGCCTCTAAGAGCGTCGACTCGCCTCTACGAGCGTCAACTCACCTATACGAGCGTCGACTCGCCTCTAAGAGCGTCGACTCGCCTCTAAGAGCGTCGACTCGCCTCTACGAGTGTCGACTCGCCTCTACGAGCGTCGACTCGCCTCTAAGAGCGTCGACTCGCCTCTACGAGTGTCGACTCGCATCTAAGAGCGTCGACTCGCCTCTAAGAGCGTCGACTCGCCTCTCTAAGAGCGTCGACTCGCCTCTACGAGCGTCGACTCGCCTCTACGAGCGTCGAATCGCCTATACGAACGTCAATTCGTCTCTTTAAGAGCGTCGATTCGCCTCTAAGAGTGTCGATTCGCCTCTAGGAGCGTCTACTCGCCTCTCTTGGAGCGTCGACTCGCCTCTGAAAGCGTCGACTCGCCTCTAAGAGCGTCGACTCGCCTCTACGAGCGTCGACTCACCTATACGAGCGTCGACTCGCCTCTCAGAGCGTCGACTCGCCTCTAAGAGCGTCGACTCGCCTCTACGAGTGTCGACTCGCCTCTACGAGCGTCGACTCGCCTCTAAGAGCGTCGACTCGCCTCTACGAGTGTCGACTCGCATCTAAGAGCGTCGACTCGCCTCTAAGAGCGTCGACTCGCCTCTCTAAGAGCGTCGACTCGCCTCTACGAGCGTCGACTCGCCTCTACGAGCGTCGACTCGCCTATACGAACGTCAATTCGTCTTTTTAAGAGCGTCGATTCGCCTCTAGGAGCGTCGACTCGCCGTTAAGAGCGTCGACTCGCCTCTATGAGCATCGACTCGCCTCTCTAAGAGCGTCGACTCGCCTCTAAGAGCGTCGACTCGCCTCTAAGAGCGTCGACTCGCCTCTAGGAGCATCGACTCGCCTCTCTAAGAGCGTCGCCTCTCCTCTAAGAGCGTCGACTCGCCTCTCTTAGAGCGTCGACTCGCCTCTAAGAGCGTCGACTCGCCTCTAAGAGCGTCAAGTCGCCTTTAGGATCATCGACTTGCCTCTCTTAGAGCGTCGAGTCGCCTCTAAGAGCGTCGCCTCTCCTCTAAGAGCGTCGACTCGCCTCTCTTAGAGCGTCGACTCGCCTGTAAGAGCCTCGACTCTCCGTTAAGAGCGTCAAGTCGCCTCTAGGAGCGTCGACTCGCCTCTCTTAGAGCGTCGAGTCGCCTCTAAGATCGTCGCCTCTCCTCTAAGAGCATCGACTCGCCTCTCTTAGAGCGTCGACTCGCCTCTAAGAGCCTCGACTCTCCGTTAAGAGCGTCAACTCGCCTCTAGGAGCGTCGACTCGCCTGTCTTAGAGCGTCGACTCGCCTCTAAGAGCGTCGACTCGCCTCTAAGAGCGTCGACTCGCCTCTAAGAGCGTCGACTCGACTCTCTTGAAGCGTCGACTCGCCTCTACGAGCGTCGACTCGCCTCTAAGAGCCTCGACTCGCCTCTCTAGGAGCATCGACTCGCCTCTATGAGCGTCGACTCGCCTCTGTTAGAGCGTCGACTCACCTCTAAGAGCGTCGACTAGCCTCTAAGAGTGTCGATTCGCCTCTAGGAGCGTCTACTCGCCTCTCTTGGAGCGTCGACTCGCCTCTAAAAGTGTCGACTCGCCTCTAAGAGCGTCGACTCGCCTCTCTTAGAGCGTCGACTCGCCTCTAAGAGCGTCGACTCGCCTCTAAGAGCGTCGACTCGCCTCTCTAAGAGCGTCGACTCGCCTCTCTAAGAGCGTCGACTCGCCTCTCTAAGAGCGTCGACTCGCCTCTACGAGCGTCGACTCGCCTCTACGAGCGTCGACTCGCCTATACGAACGTCAATTCGTCTCTTTAAGAGCGTCGATTCGCCTCTAGGAGCGTCGACTCGCCGTTAAGAGCGTCGACTCGCCTCTATGAGCGTCGACTCGTCTCTCTAAGAGCGTCGACTCGCCTCTAAGAGCGTCGACTCGCCTCTAAGAGCGTCGACTCGCCTCTAGGAGCATCGACTCGCCTCTCTAAGAGCGTCGCCCCTCCTCTAAGAGCGTCGACTCGCCTCTCTTAGAGCGTCGACTCGCCTCTAAGAGCGTCGACTCGCCTCTAAGAGCGTCAAGTCGCCTTTAGGATCATCGACTTGCCTCTCTTAGAGCGTCGAGTCGCCTCTAAGAGCGTCGCCTCTCCTCTAAGAGCATCGACTCGCCTCTCTTAGAGCGTCGACTCGCCTCTAAGAGCCTCGACTCTCCGTTAAGAGCGTCAACTCGCCTCTAGGAGCGTCGACTCGCCTCTCTTAGAGCGTCGACTCGCCTCTAAGAGCCTCGACTCTCCGTTAAGAGCGTCAACTCGCCTCTAGGAGCGTCGACTCGCCTCTTTTAGAGCGTCGACTCGTGTCTAAAATCGTCGACTCGCCTCTAAGAGCGTCGACTCGCCTCTAAGAGCGTCGACTCGACTCTCTTAAAGCGTCGACTCGCCTCTACGAGCGTCGACTCGCCTCTAAGAGCCTCGACTCGCCTCTCTAGGAGCGTCGACTCGCCTCTATGAGCGTCGACTCGCCTCTGTTAGAGCGTCGACTCGCCTCTAAGAGCGTCGACTCGCCTCTAAGAGTGTCGATTCGCCTCTAGGAGCGTCTACTCGCCTCTCTTGGAGCGTCGACTCGCCTCTAAAAGTGTCGACTCGCCTCTAAGAGCGTCCACTCGCCTCTCTTAGAGCGTCGACTCGCCTCTAAGAGCGTCGACTCGCCTCTAAGAGCGTCGACTCGCCTCTCTAAGAGCGTCGACTCGCCTCTCTAAGAGCGTCGACTCGCCTCTCTAAGAGCGTCGACTCGCCTCTCTAAAAGCGTCGACTCGCATCTAAGAGCGTCGACTCTCCTCTAAGAGCATCGACTCGCCTCTAGGAGCGTCGACTCGCCTCTCTTAGAGCGTCGACTCGCCTCTAAGAGTGTCGACTCGCCTCTACGAGCGTCGCGTCGCCTCTAGGAGCATCGACTCTCCTCTCTTAGAGCGTCGACTCGCCTCTAAGAGCGTCGCCTCTCCTCTAAGAGCGTCAACTCGCCTCTCTTAGAGCGTCGAATCGCCTCTAAGAGCGTCGACTTGCCATTAAGAGCATCGACTCGCCTCCAGGAGCGTCGACTCGCCTCTCTTCGAGCGTCGACTCGCCTCTAAGAGCGTCGACTCGCCTCTAAGAGCGTCGACTCGCCTGTCTTGGAGCGTTGACTCGCCTCTAGGAGCGTCGACTCGCCTCTTTTAGAGCGTCGGTTCGCCTCTAAGAGCGTCGACTTGCCTCTAGGAGCGTCGACTCGCCTCTCTTAGAGCGTCGACTCGCCTCTAAGAGCGTCGACTCGCCTCTACGAGCGTCGACTCGCCTCTCTTAGAGCGTCGACTCGCCTCTAAGAGCGTCGACTCGCCGTTAATAGCGTCGAAACGCCTCTAGGAGCGTCGACTCCCCTCTCTTAGAGCGTCGACTCGCCTCTAAGAGCGTCGACTCGCCTCTAAGAGCGTCGACTCGCCTCTCTAGGAGCGTCGACTCACCTCTAGGAGCGTCGACTCGCCTCTTAGAGCATCGACTCGTCTCTAAGAGCGTCGACTCGCCTCCAAGAGCGTCGACTCGCCTCTAAGAACGTCGACTCGCCTCTAAGAGCGTCGAATCGCCTTTAAGAGCGTCGACTCGCCTCTAAGATCGTCGACTCGCTTCTCTAAGAACGTCGACCGAAGCTCAGAGCTGAAGCTCTGGACTGGAGCTGTGGACTGGAGCTCTGGACTGGAGCTCTGGACTGGAGCTCTGGACTGGAGCTCTGGACTGGAGCTCTGGACTGGAGCTCTGGACTGGAGCTCTGGACTGGAGCTCTGGACTGGAGCTCAGGACTGGAGCTCAGGACTGGAGCTCAGGACTGGAGCTCAGGACTGGAGCTCAGGACTGGAGCTCAGGACTGGAGATCAGGACTCGAGCTCTGGACTGGAGGTCAGGACTGGAGCTCAGGACTGGAGCTCAGGACTGGAGCTCAGGACTGGAGCTCAGGAATGGAGCTCAGGACTGGAGCTCAGGACTGGAGCTCAGGACTGGAGCTCAGGACTGGAGCTCAGGACTGGAGCTCAGGACTGGAGCTCTGGACTGGAGCTCTGGACTGGAGCTCTGGACTGGAGCTAAGGACTGGAGCTCAGGACTGGAGCTCAGGACTGGAGCTCAGGACTGGAGCTCAGGACTGGAGCTCTGGACTGGAGCTCAGGACTGGAGCTCTGGACTGGAGCTCTGGACTGGAGCTCTGGACTGCAGCTCAGGACTGGAGCAGGACTGGAGCTCAAGACTGGAGCTCAGGACTGGAGCTCTGGACTGGAGCTCAGGACTGGAGCTCAGGACTGGAGCTCAGGACTGGAGCTCTGGACTGGAGCTCTGGACTGGAGCTCTGGACTGGAGCTCAGGACTGGAGCAGGACTGGAGCTCAAGACTGGAGCTCAGGACTGGAGCTCTGGACTGGAGCTCAGGACTGGAGCTCAGGACTGGAGCTAAGGACTGGAGCTCTGGACTGGAGCTCTGGACTGGAGCTCAGGACTGGAGCTCTGGACTGGAGCTCTGGACTGGAGCTCAGGACTGGAGCTCTGGACTGGAGCTCTGGACTGGAGCTCTGGACTGGAGCTCAGGACTGGAGCAGGACTGGAGCTCAAGACTGGAGCTCAGGACTGGAGCTCTGGACTGGAGCTCAGGACTGGAGCTCTGGACTGGAGCTCAGGACTGGAGCTCTGGACTGGAGCTCTGGACTGGAGCTCTGGACTGGAGCTCAGGACTGGAGCTCAAGACTGGAGCTCAGGACTGGAGCTCTGGACTGGAGCTCTGGACTGGAGCTCAGGACTGGAGCTCAGGACTGGAGCTCAGGACTGGAGCTCTGGACTGGAGCTCTGGACTGGAGCTCTGGACTGGAGCTCTGGACTGGAGCTCAGGACTGGAGCTCTGGACTGGAGCTCTGGACTGGAGCTCTGGACTGGAGCTCAGGACTGGAGCAGGACTGGAGCTCAAGACTGGAGCTCAGGACTGGAGCTCTGGACTGGAGCTCAGGACTGGAGCTCAGGACTGGAGCTCAGGACTGGAGCTCTTGACTGGAGCTCTGGACTGGAGCTCTGGACTGGAGCTCAGGACTGGAGCAGGACTGGAGCTCAAGACTGGAGCTCAGGACTGGAGCTCTGGACTGGAGCTCAGGACTGGAGCTTAGGACTGGAGCTCAGGACTGGAGCTCAGGACTGGAGCTCAGGACTGGAGATCAGGACTCGAGCTCTGGACTGGAGGTCAGGACTGGAGCTCAGGACTGGAGCTCAGGACTGGAGCTCAGGACTGGAGCTCAGGAATGGAGCTCAGGACTGGAGCTCAGGACTGGAGCTCAGGACTGGAGCTCAGGACTGGAGCTCAGGACTGGAGCTCAGGACTGGAGCTCTGGACTGGAGCTCTGGACTGGAGCTCTGGACTGGAGCTAAGGACTGGAGCTCTGGACTGGAGCTCTGGACTGGAGCTCAGGACTGGAGCTCTGGACTGGAGCTCTGGACTGGAGCTCAGGACTGGAGCTCAAGACTGGAGCTCAGGACTGGAGCTCAGGACTGGAGCTCTGGACTGGAGCTCTGGACTGGAGCTCTGGACTGGAGCTCTGGACTGGAGCTCTGGACTGGAGCTCAGGACTGGAGCTCTGGACTGGAGCTCTGGACTGGAGCTCAGGACTGGAGCTCTGGACTGGAGCTCTGGACCGGAGCTCTGGACTGGAGCTCTGGACTGGAGCTCTGGACTGGAGCTCAGGACTGGAGCTCAGGACTGGAGCTCTGGACTGGAGCTCAGGACTGGAGATCAGGACTGGAGCTCTGGACTGGAGCTCTGGACTGGAGCTCAGGACTGGAGCTCAGGACTGGAGATCAGGACTGGAGCTCAGGACTGGAGCTCAGGACTGGAGCTCAGGACTGGAGCTCAGGACTGGAGCTCTGGACTGGAGCTCAGGACTGGAGATCAGGACTGGAGCTCAGGACTGGAGCTCAGGACTGGAGCTCAGGACTGGAGCTCAGGACTGGAGCTCTGGACTGGAGCTCAGGACTGGAGATCAGGACTGGAGCTCTGGACTGGAGCTCAGGACTGGAGCTCAGGACTGGAGCTCAGGACTGGAGCTCTGGACTGGAGCTCAGGACTGGAGCTCAGGACTGGAGCTCTGGACTGGAGCTCTGGACTGGAGCTCTGGACTGGAGCTAAGGACTGGAGCTCTGGACTGGAGCTCTGGACTGGAGCTCAGGACTGGAGCTCTGGACTGGAGCTCTGGACTGGAGCTCAGGACTGGAGCTCTGGACTGGAGCTCTGGACTGGAGCTCTGGACTGGAGCTCAGGACTGGAGCAGGACTGGAGCTCAAGACTGGAGCTCAGGACTGGAGCTCTGGACTGGAGCTCAGGACTGGAGCTCAGGACTGGAGCTCAGGACTGGAGCTCTGGACTGGAGCTCTGGACTGGAGCTCTGGACTGGAGCTCAGGACAGGAGCAGGACTGGAGCTCAGGACTGGAGCTCTGGACTGGAGCTCTGGACTGGAGCTCAGGACTGGAGCTCAGGACTGGAGCTCAGGACTGGAGCTCAGGACTGGAGCTCAGGAATGGAGCTCAGGACTGGAGCTCAGGACTGGAGCTCAGGACTGGAGCTCAGGACTGGAGCTCAGGACTGGAGCTCAGGACTGGAGCTCAGGACTGGAGCTCTGGACTGGAGCTCAGGACTGGAGCTCAGGACTGGAGCTCTGGACTGGAGCTCTGGACTGGAGCTCAGGACTGGAGCTCAGGACTGGAGCTCAGGACTGGAGCTCAGGACTGGAGCTCTGGACTGGAGCTCTGAACTGGCTTCCAGCAACCCCCTCTGCACAACCCCTGTGCTCTCGCCTTCCTTATCGCCCCGTCTCTCTTCAAGGTAGGGTCCTACCAACCTCCACTCAGGTTTCCACCATCTCGCCACCATGTTTCCGCCACCAATCAACTCATGTTAACGCCATGTCTCCACCACTCCCTCCTGCACATCCCCTGTGCTCTCGCCTTCCTTATCGCCCCGTCTCTCTTCAAAGTAAAGGCCCATAATCCAGTGCCTTACCTGGATTCCCTCCCTCCACACCAATGACCGCACATGTCTCAGTGTTCGCACATGTTCCATATCACTCCCCCTGTACTCCTCACTCCCCCTGCGCTCATCACTTACCCATTCACACACCCCACATCGCTCTGCCACCTCCCTGTCTGCAGACGGAGCATCTCCGAGTAGACATCGAGACCAAGAGTGAGGTGAGCCACTCCTTACCACTCTTCACCGCTCCTCACCGCTCGTCACTGCTTCTCGCCCCATTCTCACCGTTCCGAGCCCCTCGCTTTTGTGACCTTCCTGATCGCCTCAACGTGCAAGGCAAAGCACATCTGCACATCTCATCAGTTGTCAGCAGGCCAGAGACACGGTGTGACGTGTGTTAGCACAACTGCTCTGCATTCTCCCCACTCTCGCCCTCCCCCTTTCCTATGAGCGATTTCTGAGATTTTCTTGAAAATCTCTCATCAGTTGTCAGCATCCCAGAGACAGTGTGTGACGTGTGGTAGCATAGCTGCACTGCCCTCTCCCCACTCTCGCCCTCCCCCTCTCCCTATCCACTCCCACCATGTCCGTCCCCAAACCCCCCCAGCTCTCAGCAGGGCAGACGGTGTGTGACATGGATGTCTTTCTCGGCCACTCATGGCCGTCCTCCCTCTCTTTCCCCCTCAAACCATGTCCATCCCACCTCCCCCCAGGTCTCAACAGGGAAAACAGTGTGTGACGTGTGGAGGCAAAGCGGCCGGCCAGCCAACGCTCGCCTTTCTCGGCCTTCCTCCCTCTCTTTCGCCTTCCAACCATGTCCATCCCCACCCCCTGCTCCAGCTCTCAGCAGGGCAGACGGTGTGTGACGTGTGGAGGCAAAGCAAGCGGCCACCCAACGCACATGTGGCTCGCAGCATGGACGTGGATGGCTTCTGGGACCTCATGGTTGCTGCCATTGACCGTGCTGCTACCGCCGCTGCCGCTACTGCTGCTCATGTTGCAACTGTTGCTCACTGAGCTGTGCTGCTGCAGCAGCAACAACAGAAGGATTCGTGCATGTGGCTCGCAGCATGGACCTCATGGTTGCTGCTATCGATCGCGCTGCTGCCGCTGCTACTGCTACTGCTGCTGTTGCCACCACTGCTCATGCTCCTGCTGCTCGTGCTGCGACTCATAGAGCATAAAGAGAGTGAGCAATGGCGGGGAGATTCAACGCGCATGTGGCTCGCAGCATCCACGTGCATGGCTTCTGTTCTGGGTCCTCATGGTCAACCACAGCCACTGAGCTTTGTTGCTGGAGCCATGTGCTGTTTGTTGCTGACCACCGCCATATGTAATACCAACAAGCCTGCATTCACTTTAACCTCTGCGGCAATGCAATGAGAACAGAACAGTGCTTCTAAGGGCGTGTTACATCACTACTGTGACAGAATCTTATTAGGAGGCTGGCAGTATGGAGAATGTTGTATCAAAACACAGTAGGTACAAACAGGCTACATAACTCAATCAATCAAGAGTTGTATAAGAGCAGAAACTTGTGGGACTGCTGCTGGCACATCACGTGCAGCCAGCCAGCCAAGCTTCAACCAACCAGGAATCAAAGAGAGAGTGATGCTGTGGCTGCAAATGCAACCCAGTCAGTCACATTGCATGCAGCCACATGCCAGAGACCAGGCAGCTGAGAAGTCGAACGAGGTGTTGTTAAGAGTAAGCAGTCAGACAGAGAGTGCCACATGGGTTAAGAAATCCCGGCTTTGACTGACATGAGCAGCAGTCGCAAGCAGCAGTTACAAGCAACAGTCACATGACATGCAGTGACATCACATGCAGTCTCATCAGATGCAGTGACGAGCAGCAGTCACATCACATGCAGCCACGTGCCACACCAGGCAGCTGAGCCATCAAATGGCATGCAGTGAAAGCAAGCAGCCACAATGAGAGCGTTTCAAGTCAAAGCAATTCACCTTCTTAGACAGACACGAGCAGCAATCAGACATGCACTCACCTGCCAGACCAGGCAGCTGGGGAATTAAATGCCATGCACTGAACACAAGCATGAACGGAGGAAAAGTTGAGATATGGGCGTTGAAGGGGGGATGAGGGGTGAGTCAGAAACGGGGGAAGAGGGGAGGAGGGCGAGAGAGGGGGAACGAGGGGTGAATCGAGGGGAGATGAGGGTGGGCATGAAGGAAGAGAACAATAGAGCGCGTAAGTGATATGAAAGGGGAGAGAGGAGGGGGGACGGGGGTGGGGGGGGGGGGAAGAGAGGGGGGGACGTTTCTGTTCTCCTTTCCCGTTTTGCGACCAGGCTAGTGTTGATGTGCTCTCAAGGGCAGGCTTTCACCCGTACAATCTCCAATCACTCACTCACCCACCTCAGATGTGATCCCCAATCACTCACCTCAGATGTGATCCCCAATCACTCACCTCAGATGTGATCCCCAATCACTCACCTCAGATGTGATCCCCAATCACTCACCTCAGATGTGATCCCCAATCACTCACCTCAGATGTGATCCCCAATCACTCACCTCAGATGTAATCCCCAATCACTCACCTCAGATGTGATCCCCAATCACTCACCTCAGATGTGATCCCCAATCACTCACCTCAGATGTGATCCCCAATCACCCACCTCAGATGTGATCCCCAATCACTCACCTCAGATGTGATCCCCAATCACTCACCACAGATGTGATCCCCAATCACTCACCTCAGATGTGATCCCCAATCACTCACCTCAGATGTGATCCCCAATCACTCACCTCAGATGTAACCCTTTCAGTCACCTTCCACCAGAAAGATGAAGGGGAGAGCGGAAAAGGGAGGGCGGAAAGGAGGGGGGAGGAGGGGGGGGGGGGGTTGAAGGGGAAAACGGTAACTTCGCCCTTTCACCATTCATCTCCGTCCACATCCCCTCTTCTCCCCTCCGCTCACCTCCCCTCCGCTCCCGTCCTCCCTTTTTCCCATCTTGCGTCCAGGCTGGGACCGTCGACACGCTCTCAAGTCCTGGAAAGGGGAGGGGAAAATTGGAAAGGGGAGGGGAAAAAGCGGAAAGGGAAGGAGAAAAGCGGAAAGGGGAGGGGAGTTCCCACCCCATCAGTTCCCACCCCATCAGTTCCCACCCCATCAGTTTCCACCCCATCAGTTCCCACCGCATCAGTTCCCACCCCATCAGTTTCCACCCCATCAGTTTCCACCCCATCAGCTCCCACCCCATCAGTTGCCACCCCATCAGTTCCCACCGCATCAGTTCCCACCCCATCAGTTTCCACCCCATCAGTTTCCATTCCACCCCATCAGTTTTCACCCCATCAGTTTCCACCCCATCAGTTCCCACCCCATCAGTTCCCACCCCATCATTTCCCACCCCATCAGATTCCACTCCATCAGTTTCCACCCCATCAGTTTCCACCCCATCAATTTCCACCTCATCAGTTTCCACCCCATCAGTTTCCACCACATCAGTTCCCACCCCATCAGTTCCCACCCCATCAGTTTCCGCCCCATCAGTTTCCACCCCATCAGTTTCCGCCCCATCAGTTTCCACCCCATCAGTTTCCACCCCATCAGTTTCCCCCCCATCAGTTTCCGCCCCATCAGTTTCCACCCCATCAGTTTCCACCCCATCAGTTCCCACCCCATCAGTTGCCACCCCATCAGTTCCCACCCCATCAGTTTCCACCCCATCAGTTTCCACCCCATCAGTTTTCACCCCATCAGTTTCCACCCCATCAGTTCCCACCCCATCAGTTCCCACCCCATCAGTTTCCACCCCATCAGTTTCCACCCCATCAGTTCCAACCCCATCAGTTCCCACCCCATCAGTTTCCGCCCCATCAGTTTCCACCCCATCAGTTTCCACCCCATCAGTTTCCACCCCATCAGTTTCCACCCCATCAGTTTCCACCCCATCAGTTTCCACCCCATCAGTTTCCACCCCATCAGTTCCCACCCCATCAGTTCCCACCCCATCAGTTTCCACCCCATCAGTTCCCACCCCATCAGTTCCCACCCCATCATTTCCCACCCCATCAGATTCCACTCCATCAGTTTCCACCCCATCAGTTTCCACCCCATCAGTTTCCACCCCATCAGTTTCCACCCCATCAGTTTCCACCCCATCAGTTTCCACCCCATCAGTTTCCACCCCATCAGTTCCACCCCATCAGTTCCCACCCCATCAGTTTCCGCCCCATCAGTTTCCACCCCATCAGTTTCCACCCCATCAGTTTCCACCCCATCAGTTTCCACCCCATCAGTTTCCACCCCATCAGTTTCCACCCAATCAGTTTCCACCCCATCAGTTCCCACCCCATCAGTTTCCACCCCATCAGTTTCCCCCCCATCAGTTTCCACCCCATCAGTTTCTACCCCATCACTTCCCACCCCATCACTTCCCACCCCATCACTTTCCACCCCATCACTTTCCACCCCATCATTTTCCACCCCATCAGTTTCCACCCCATCAGTTTCCACCCCATCAGTTTCCACCCCATCAGTTTCCACCCCATCGGTTCCCACCCCATCGGTTTCCACCCCATCAGTTTCCACCCCATCAGTTTCCACCCCATCAGTTTCCACCCCATCAGTTTCCACCCCATCAGTTCCCACCCCATCAGTTTCCACCCCATCAGTTCCCACCCCATCAGTTTCCACCCCATCAGTTTCCGCCCCATCAGTTTCCGCCCCATCAGTTTCCACCCCATCAGTTTCCCCCCCATCAGTTTCCACCCCATCAGTTTCTACCCCATCAGTTTCCACCCCATTAGATTCCACCCCATCACTTCCCACCCCATCACTTTCCACCCCATCAGTTTCCACCCCATCAGTTCCAACCCCATCAGTTTCCGCCCCATCAGTTTCCGCCCCATCAGTTTCCACCCCATCAGTTTCCCCCCCATCAGTTTCCACCCCATCAGTTTCTACCCCATCAGTTTCCACCCCATTAGTTTCCACCCCATCACTTCCCACCCCATCACTTTCCACCCCATCACTTTCCACCCCATCATTTTCCACCCCATCAGTTTCCACCCCATCAGTTTCCACCCCATCAGTTTCCACCCCATCAGTTCCCACCCCATCACTTTCTACCCCATCAGTTCCCACCCCATCAGTTTCCACCCCATCAGTTTCCATCCCATCAGTTTTCACCCCATCAGTTTCCACCCCATCAGTTCCCACCCCATCAGTTCCCACCCCATCATTTCCCACCCCA